TCATTACCTACTCGGCCACAAGACTACTCAGCCACCCATATGTCACCGCATCGGACAATCCCACCCTATTATCTACGTTATTCGGCTCACAACATTATTTGTCAACTTATTCGGCAATAGAATTTATCGGCATTATAAACACTGCTTGCATATGATCAACTCGGCTCATAACTTATTCGGCAAAAATTACACTCATAACATTTATTATTCGGTACATTATTTTGGCGCTCGGTACGAACATGTTACTCGGCAATACTGAGAACTCATAGGCAATTGCTCGGCAATGCTCCAAAGCTACTTTGGTGATTTATTCGGCTTATATATTCAACATCAACAACTTCTTCAGCACAAACATCTCGGAAAATCGGCTAACATTATTCGGCTCATTGATTACTCAGCAAGACTACTTGGCCACACGCGGTAACATGCTCCACAGCATTGGACATCCTCGGCACAAAACTACAATTATTAACCATTATTAACTTGCCTACCTTTCCGACAAAAATCCCATGCTTATTATCTCGGCATAGAACTAGCATCTCGGCTTGCCGAAATCAACACCTGAATATACAAAAGGATTCGCGTCAAATCAAGGAGTCCAAACCCACCAACCCAAGCAGCCAAGAAGAAACCAAAGTTCACTGAAAATTGCGATACGACTCACATTTTCCGACAACTAAAATTTGCAAAGCTATCAAACTCAAGTTTTGCCCATACCAACGTGAAGCACTCATTGAGACGAGTCCAACGCAACAAACCGCATCAAAATCGGAGCTCAAATGAAGCCGTACGGGCCGCTAAAAGTTTGCCCAGAAAATGATTTCTTTCTTTGAGGAAGACGATCCAGCAAGATATAAAGAAATAATCATGTGCTTCGCGGTTGCATTACACCCTGTTAATTTGAGCTGTTAGATCCATTTTAGCTATAATTGCGCCATCAGGAGTCTGATCACAGCGATCCAATAGTCCTTTCCAGCTATCTGATGCATTCTGGGTCCATCCGTACAGTCAGAATTTGCAAATTCTGCTCAAAATAAATATGAATATATATATTAAATAAATAAATAAAAATACAAATAAATTGCAGATTTGATTCTGATATCACTAAGCACCCTACTTTGTCTCGACTTCATAATGATTTTGCCACGGTACCAAACAGGGGCACGGCTTCATAATGTCTCGGCTTCTTGGCCCAAGTCAATTTTATTCCTTCCGAATAACAAATCTTATTCAAAAGCAATGGGGCAAATATACCTTGGACAAGAAGCTCAACTTCACTAAATTGGCAACCACTGCCAACCAAGTTCTTAGCAAACCTAACTCCGAAGGAATGCTGACACACCGCCGACCAAACGATACACCGATGTTTTGACACTAGTTACTCGGCAGTGCATCAACTTTACCCGGCAAGATTATTCAACCATTATTAATGCAACATTATGCATGATCATTATTCGGCTGTGCATCAACTCTATTCGGCTAAGCAACATTATTTGTCAACCTTATGCATTGTCAAACTTTATGCAGCAACATTGGCCACAGTATTCGGCAACTTTATTCGTCTAACAACATTATTTGACAAAACATTTACCCACTGGGACATCAGTCAATTTTTCGCTTTCCAATTGGGGCACATCAGCCGATCATCATCTCGGTACCTTTGATATGCATGCATACTCAGCCAACTTGGTACAAACATTACAACGACGTTTACTTGAGTTACAAACTTCCGCTCATTTTCACACAGCTTCAAGCAAGCGCCCGTTTTAGGGCAATTTATCACACACTTGGCAGTCATTAGTTTGCATATTTTTGCGCGCCGTCATTTTACCAAAGCCGAATCTTCCCTATAACATAGGGCAATGGGAATCTACATTCCTTCCGACTAACACCTGGCATTCGAAAGCAATGGGGCAAGTCTACCTTGGACTAAACGCAAACTGAGCAGCTCGACAATTAAATAGTTGGCCGGGGGTTAAGCGTGCTTAGGCTGGAGTAGTTCTAACTGTCCGTGTTCGGCTTATAGAAATATTTCTAGCTCGGCATGAAAGTCCATATTTGGAAGCAATCTTTGCACTTGACAAAATACGGCACCCATGCCCGGGGGTTAAAATACCGTGGCCTACACCCATGCCCGGGAGTTAGAATGCTGCGGCCTACACCCATGCCCGGGGGTTAGAATGTTGCGGCCTACACCCATGCCCGGGGGTTAGAATGTTGCGGCCTACACCCATGCCCGGGGGTTAGAATGTTGCGGCCTACACCCATGCCCGGGGGTTAGAATGTTGCGGCCTACAATTTTTGACTGATATATCTACCTTATTTAATCTATCTTATTTGGTTCAGGTAATCATTTCCGTGTTCGGCTTATAGAAATATTTCTAGCTTGGCATGAAAGTCCATATTTGGAAGCAATCTTTGCACTTGACAAAATACAACACCCATGCCCGGGGGTTAGAATGTTGCGGCCTACACCCATGCCCGGGGGTTAGAATGTTGCGGCCTACACCCATGCCCGGGGGTTAGAATACTGTGGCTTACACCCATGCCTGGGGGTTAGAATACCACGGCCTATCATTATGATTTATTTGTATTCCTTTCTGGGTTTTAGTTCACCCCCCTTCATCCTATGATCGACTTACATACATTTATACATACATTCAAGACATACATACATTTATACATACATTCAAGACATGCATACATTTATACATACATTCAAGACATACGTATATTTACACATACGTTTAAGCATACATGCAGTCATTCATTCATACATTTTATTCATTTATCAAATGTATTCTTTGTCAAATGACCTAACATCTATTTGAATAGTATAACTCGGCAATAAAAACTCTCATTCCTTCTACCGAAGACAATGAAAGTTTTGGGGCAATTGTGGGAGCCAGAAAAATATAGGTACTAGCTTATTGGGCCTAACCCAAACAAAGCCCACAGTGGGTCCAGCCTAAACAAATATCACACCCCCCCATCTATATAAGGGGGGGGGGGCATCCCAAGTGAGAGGTATGTCTGTTCTCTCTACACAAAACACACACCCCTTCTAATAGATGTATATACTATTTACTGATTCAAGGACTAACTTCATCATCGGAGTACTCCCGGCCGGCAACCCCGGTTGGGTGGCACCGACTGTGTTCCTCATTGCAGATCTACAGGGGTGAAGCTCTTCTCTTCGTTGGATCTCCACACCATCGATGTGAGAGGATATTTCATGGTCTCACAAAAGTCACTTGAGAGATTTTATTTGACACTGTTATTAACATGCATACTACTATGAAAACAACCCATAACCCTATATTTATATTAGTAGAAAACGTTTGACCCAAATTATCAAATTCAAACCTACAACGAATTGGATTAGTTGCCAAAACCCAATCTTAATCCTAGTCCTAGTCCACTGGGAAACAGGAAATACATCAATATAAAAATTAATTTAGAAATGGATAATGAGCCAAAAAGCAACATAATTAAGTTCAATACCAAAACAAAGAAACATAATTATAATTATAGTGAAAATATTAAATACCACATATATGTAATACTAGAACAAAGAAACTTCAAAAATGGAACCGACAAATTCCAAACAAATATATACAGTCCAAGTGGTTTTAGCGAACAACAACTATTTAATTTGATTGTGCTTAATTCGGCAAAAAAAAAAAAAAAGAAGTTTAATCTAATTCCTCTAAAATTAAATGGCATGTTGGGTAAAATCCAAGCGAATATTGGCCAAGATACTTGGGTGATGGGTGAATACCAATCCCACCGGGCAACACTATCATTTTACTTAAAGCTATAGGATATAATTTATTCAATAATGCTACATACCTCCAAAAATTATAACCCTCACAATCCTCTCTCACTTATGATTCGTTCAAGACTGAAAGAAAAAATAAATAAATAAATAAAAACACATAATTGATCCACATTATTTTGAGGGTCATGGGGTCCCCAACTTTGGATGTCCAAGCATTTTTATAATCTATTTGTAAATTTGTAAATATCTTCAATTTTTTGATGACTTTTACACTGTGTTTGATTAGAAAATTTAGAAAGAAATTTGAAAAAGAAAAATAAATAAACAAATAAAATGTGAATAAAATAGGTCTACCTTCACATTTTTTCTAATTTCACATAGTTTTTCTTTTTCTGTTTCTAAATCTCTTTTCAAATCTTCCAATCAAACACAACTTTAGTAAATCCTAGCATCTAAACCAGAGTTAAAGTACAAGTAATGCTATTATATCTTTCTTAAACTGGATGTTTAGCTTTTACAGGTATCATCAATTCTTGAAAAACTGATGACGATGATAATGATGGAAGAGAGTGAGAATCAAAACAGAGACATAAGAGGAAGATGAAGAATTGAACTAAAAGAAGAAATTTTGAGATAATATGAAAAAATATATATATATTGAAATATTGAAAAAAATGAACAAGAAGATAAGAGGGAGAAACAAACAAAATCAAGAAAAATAAGAGAGAGAGAGAGAGAGAGAGAGAGAGAGAGAGAGAGAGAGAGAAAGAGAGAGAACTGGAGTGGAAGAGTGAAAATTGAAACTTGAAAATGAAGGCTAAGTTCGAGATCTAAATTATAGTTGATTGTTTCACTAGTATTTTTTTATATTAAAAAAAATCCCTAAATTGATTTTCTTTACATGAGTAATCATGAGTTTCACACTACAACTAAGAAAATATCTTGGCAAACATGGTTTATTCATAATCTGTATTTGGTTGGGAGATTTAGAATGGAAAAATGTATTCACATTTCATTTACTTTTTTCCTTTCCTTTTTCAAATTTCTTCCCAAATCCTTTAACCAAATTCAGCATTATAGAATTTTCTCAGAACTTTGGGGTGGCGGTTGCACTGCCAGCCCCCTCCCCCACTCTTCAGTCCATTCCAAGCCATAATAAGGGAAAATGGAACTATATTATTATAGCGATTCTGTGCACACTCACTATAAATTTGAGCCATATATTAATTTTCTGTGCATGTAGCATTACTGAATATTAATTCAAGAAATATATCACATTGCGAACCAATTGAGTTGGTGGAGTTAAGAAGCTTAGATATATAGAACGTTTTTGTTTTTCTTTATCTTACAAGTAGAATTTTTGGTGAAACAAGATCATACAAATTCTCCGATTAAGAATGGACACAGTTGATTCTGTGTTTAAATTTACACCCCCAAACTGAGTATGGCGAAGCCCTTGTTTACATTAGATTAGCCATCCCGTGGATAGTGATCTCTGCTTCAACCCAGCAACTGTCCTTCACCAAAAAACCAGTGTTTGGCTGATTGAAATGACCCAGTGTAATAAATCTATCCCCTCCACACTCCTGTCTTGTTGAGCTGAACCAGTAATTTGCTGCAATCATACCAGATAAAAAATATTTGAGCTCATTAGAGAAGCGCACACACAACTGTGAATAAACCATGTTTGCCAGATTTACAAAAAATACTTGACCCAGCCATATAGTGCCTCATGATGAATGAGTACAATGCTCCATTTGTTTTAGTGAAAAATGTTTTCTTACGCTAAACATTTAAAAAAAGAATCTTATATTTGATTATGACCTTAAAACTAATGTGCAAATGATTCCTAAAATAAGATTTCCGTTGCAAAATGACTAATATATCCTTCTCGAGATATGTTCTCCCGCCTCATTAACTAATGTTTACCTTTACCAGAGTGATGCTTGGCTTTCATCTGGTCTAGTATGCGCAGTGCAACATCTGCAAATATTTTAGAACCAAAAGGAAGAGTTGAAGGTTCAGCCAAAGTTAGATACAGAGATGAATGGGTACCCATTCCACTGCCTTTTCCCTTGGGATATAGCTGTATCTTCCTGCACCAACCAACAAACAAACAAGTCACAGAGTAATCATTGTTTTGTTTCTATTGATTGTAATCAAATCCAACGGGACTCTAATGTATGATGATGCATAGCTTTTCATCGTGAACACAGTGGTCGTGTTAGTAAATTTTATAACGAGCTGATCATTACTTTAAACTTGCACAGGTATGGAGGAAGCAAGTGAAATATATAACATTTCATTTTTTAAAAACAATACTACAAAAGATCTCATAAAAATGTTCAGCATGATGTGCACAGTACTGCATTCATTTTGGATGGAACATGCACTTCACAACAGGATGAATGTAGTGCTGCTACACTACATTATGGGTATTTTTCTGAATATGTAGGATTAGTGTTCTCTTTCTTCTTCTTTTTCTTTTTAATAACATTTTGGAAGATGTTTGATCTGAATAAACACATTCACACGACACAGTGAGTACATAACTCAACCAAAAACCTCTTAAACAAGATATAAGTGACATCAAAAAGCATATTTGAGTTTACCATTGGAGATCTCCAGCACTGAATGCCTTTGAGTCATAACACTCCTTATCCAACCTTGAGAAATTATCAATCTTCCAAGTGTTCTTGTAAGTAATTGCATCCTTCACCATTGACAAACACTCCCCTTTCCCTGTATTTTGTTCCTTGCACACAAAGACCTCTGCCCCAAAGACACAGGTGTCGTTTACAAGATATCCATTGGAGGGATTGTTGAATGTTTTAAGAGGGATGAATTGATCGAATCCCCATTCCAACTTCATTCTATGAAAACGTTTTCCCTTCCCCGGTGTATCTAAGAAAACATAATTAATGACTTGATTAGTAAGCAGCGCACATCAAACCATGATGTTAATTTGAACTCAGTCAATGTTATATTAAAATTGAGAATTCTTTTCAGAGCCAACATTGGCTTGTAAACAAAGGGAATAAGAAAAAAAATTGCAAAATATAGTGCTAAATTTGACAAGATACCTTCAAGTACTAAGTAGGTGTCCTTGTTTTGATTAAGCACAAACAATCGGAAAACAGCTTGGACCTCCCAACCGGGATGCACTGGACTTCCTTCTGCCATCACCAAGTAAAGAGAGAGGTGATCTTTGATACCCTTGCTCTTGTTTCCACTTGGGTAGAGAGCCAATTTCCTACAAACAAACCAATAAAATTTATGTTCACCAAAACAAAAGGCGTAACATTTTTAGGAGATGAAGAAATGTAACCATTTGTAGCCTCCAGCTTCGAAATCACCGGAGTCGTATCTTTCTATGTTATTGGTTGTTAGCAATGAAAATAGTTGGATTTTAATCATGTAGTGAGCAGGTGGTGCATCTGAAGTTGATCTTGAAACCACTGCAATAACAAAAATGACGATGATGATGGTGACAACATGAATAATCGTGATGGTAAGATGTAAAACTAAGCTGAAATCATTATAAGCAGCTAAATATTAAGTGTGGGCGATCCATCAATTTGTGAGGTCTGTAGCCGTTTTGTCAGCTGTCCAATTAGTTCACAACGTAGTTTTACATTGGGGCAGTGGTTAGAAGTCCAGCAAGTGCTAACTCTAAGGCTGTGTTCGGTTCAAGGATTTAGAGAGGGATTTGGAAAGAAAAAAGGTCAAATATAGGTGAAATGTGAAAAAATATACTTACATTTCATCTAGTTTCACGCACCTTTTCCCTTTTTCTTTTCAAATCTCTACCCAAATCCTTGAAACAAACACAGCCTAAGGGATTTGGCTTAGTGGGAAGAGAAGGCAACCATAGGGCTTACCACCCAAGAGGTTGTAGATTTGAATCCCGCGGAAGTCAAAGAACCCAAACCTTGGCTTGACCTAGGCCCAATGGGTTTTTACTTGGTCTAAGCTCATACTTTAGACGGCTAGCCTGAATAAGGGTTGGGATTGACCTGGGCCTAGATGTTAGAGCCCGGTTCAATAGCCCCGTTTGTTGGCTCGTAAGGGGTTGAGCAAAAAAATCGATAAAACTTTTCTGACGGGGAAAATCAATGTTTGGACAGGGTTTTTTTACATGCACACACAAAATAATAATAACAATAAAATAATAAGTGCATAGAAAAATAAGGTCTAGTCTAAATTCATTATGAGTGTGATGGAATCACATCTAAAATGATTCCAGATCACACATTGATGTTTCTTTGCACCGTTACGTGCACGTAATTTTTCCAATTGGAGAGAGAGAGAGAGGGGTCATACCATCTTGGTCATCAAAGATAAGATCTGACATGGCAAGAAATATATAAATATTCACCACTGAATTGTGTAGATACAGATATAAAAACAATGAACCAATGGAGTTTTGCATTTATAAGGACTAAGGAAAACCTTAAATTCCAAAAGACTTTCAGGGGGTTTATCCTTTGCTTTTCAGTAGGACTTCCCATTGTCAGATGACAAACAAGAATCCATTCCCAGCTTGTTGGTCTTGCAGATGTTAATTCTTGAATTGAAAATTAGCAAAACCTTCCCTCCTTACAGAGGACATCTGTTTCTTGACGGTTCAATTGCTTCATCTTATCAAATCAAACCCACACAACAATGATATCTGCTTTTGTGTGTCTGACTACGACTCTGAAAAGTAAACTTCTCTGCGAGGTGAACTCGGGATCGGGCTACACTTCAAGCTGAGTTTGGATAGGCATGAGGCCCGAGAAGACTTGACGGATGGTTTTAGTGAAAGAGGAGGAAGGTTTGGTAAAGACTTTGTAAGGGTTTAGGAAGGGAACACTTGTAACAGAAATTTTATTATCATCATCTAAATACGGGACTCAGATTAATTTCTCTCACTTCAAATTGAGTTTGGAAAGACTCTCAGACAAACCGAAAGAAAAAGAAAAATTGCTCATGCTAGAAGCTCTTCATTTTTTTTCAGTCTGTGAACACATCAACTGACAACAGACACGCCTTTTTTCTTCATTGACACATTTCTCCCTCAATAGGCAACAAAATATGCCAAAAGAAATTGAAATAGAGCATGCACTTATTCATGCTTCTTATCTTAGAATATCAAAGAAATATGTCATATGTCAAATAGTTTGTATAGAGAAATCTATAATATATAAAACAGAGAGGAATGGGAAAGCTAGCCGGACAGGAAAATTAAACCAGACCTTTCAAGGTCGCTAATATATATAAGTTGATGAAATACAAGGCAAGCAGGTTTGCAGCAGTAACTGTTTTCAGAACTTATACATTATACATTAAAACAATCCAATCCCAGTCTCCCCTTACGAAACTTCGATAAATAACTCACTCTCTTCACAAACATGTTAAAAAGACTCTTGCACATATACAAAAATTCAAATTAAGATGGGATCTTATGCCTCAGACATGATGCACTCAATTGCTTGCTTGCATATTCCAGTCATTGTTGCCTCAGTCCCAAAAACCTGCATTAGAGTTTTCTCACAGTCAAAATTTAAATAGTAAAACAGAAGTTTAAAAATAATCAATTGATCAAGAAGCGAAGGCTGCCAGACAGACTGCAATATCAAACTTGAAGTTGAAATGTTGTGACATGCAGCCCAAACATTATATTTTGTTTTCTTTTTTTGTTGTTGAAATATTCAAATCGGTTAAATATGATTTTTGAGTACGACTGATTAGAGCTGTTTGTAATATGTGATAAAGATATAGCCAAGATCTTATCTCATACCTCCAGAGGAACCCCTAGTTCCTCACCCAGGGCACGCATCTTTGCCAAACCAGTCTGATAGTTTGGACCACCGCTTCTCACATAAATATGCATTCTCGCTGCTTTTAGCTTGGATTCCTAAAGTCACAGAAGAGGTATATGTGAGCATATAAAAGTGAAATTAGATTATCAAGTTGCTTTTATAAAAGAAGCAAAATGTCTCTACCTTCTCCCTTAGTGCTCTAATAATTCCATTAAAAGTAACAGCAACATCAGTGAAATTAGCTATGCCACCTCCTATGAGAAGAACCCTTTTACGACCATCAGGATTTGCAGTGGCACACTGCAAAATCAAGGGAATGTTAGATGCTACCGGTAACGGTGGATATGTAAATTACATCAAGAAATGAAAAGAAAAGCCTCAAATGCAAGAAATATTGACAAGCTCTTACATCAATGACAACCCTAGCATATTGCAACACCTCTTCCTCATTAGGAGCACCACTATACTCTGCATAATTCCCAAGTTCTGATGCATAACCCAAGTCTCCAACCTAAATGAGAAAAAGAAACCCACATACAAGGCATCCAAGAAACTAAGAGGGACAAAGGGATTATGGGAAAATAAGCGCCACATACGCTCATTTACAATAAACAGATGGGATAAAAAGTAAACAAGCAACAAAATAGTCCAGCTGAATTGTAAGCTATGAATCACATGAATGGTATATTAAGAAACTCACAGTATCAGCATAAATAACACTTGCACCACCACCAGCTATCATGGTCCAGATGCGTCCTTTGGGGTTCAAAACAGTGAATTTTAAGGAAGCACTTGTCTGCAACATTGTCAACAGATCCCAACTTATTAGTTGCTGCCATGGATGCAATTTAAGCCTTTAAAACTAACCCTCTCACATAAAACAGTAAGACAATGCACAAATGATTGAGCAGAAATATAATTCTTGTCAAACAGGGTAAAAATTGACTGTATACTCAACCATTTCCGTCCAGCAGATATTAGATGCTTCAAGTTAGAGAAAGTCTTCCTCTTTATTGGGATAAATTGGTGAGAGTCCCTTGACCTTAGACCATTGCAGTTTTTGGATAAATTGGTGATACTCCCTTGACCTTTAGCCATTACAGGAGAGCAAGGGCCATTGGTGCAGTGGAGAAGCATCAGACCCCTAGGGATTAGCCAAGCTCGGTACCCGAGTTCGAGCACTAGAAACCCCTTCCTTTTCCTTTTCCCTTCCCCTCCCCCTCCCCCTCCCCTGACCAAAAAAAAAGGCCATTCCAAGCCAACTCATTCAATTATCCATTTCTTACCATGCCAACATATAGGTACCATGAATTTGTAGCATAATAGAATAAAGGATACTGGAACTTGTAAACTATTAAGTTTTGAATTCCATTAACCTCTAACAGGACCACACAAATTAGAATACTATTGAGGCTGCTTGCTGTTGGACAATTTTAGGGTCTTGAATGTGATATCAAGGAATGGGGACTAAACTGGGTATAATTTGAATGTGATGTCAAGGAATTTCCATTTGATCATGGCTTTGGTTGCTGTATCCCCAAAGTTTGGCTGTCGAATGCATCCACACAAGCTAAATCAAGCATAGTAATTTGAATGTGATATCAAGGAATTTCCATTTGATCATGGCTTGGTTGCTGTATCCCTAAAGTTTGGCTCTCAGATGCATCCACACAAGCTAAATCAAGCATAAATCCCGTCGACCAGTTCCAAGACCAAAATCATTCACAATGGAGCACTTAAAAAGTGTTAGAAACAATAGATTTTTTATATCTGCAGACTCCACGGCCTTCCACAGCTCTACATGACAAATGAGATCTATGTACTTGAATACATGCATAACTGAATGGTATCTTGTTGCTCAAGTTGGTCACTGAGATGCTGGTCAGAAGAAATCGAAGTCCAGAACTTCCTAACCTGGGATCGGTAGGAAATCATAGGTTTCAAAATTTCCTTGCCTTTCCTGACATCTAGTTGAGAGTGATATATAATGCACACTAGTTATAACCCAACTAGAGACCATTTGCATAACAGTCATTTGGAATGCCATAAGCAATAAATGAATGCAAACTAAGGGGACTTTCATAGAACAATAGACAACATGAATGCAAAGTGTAATATCTTTGACAACTACCTTTTCATCCTGTTGGAGAAAATACTAGAAACTAAACAATATTATTGATAAATGATGCAAAGAAAATGAGATACAAATAGATCAGGCTGAGGCACGGATATCTCGTTTTCTTTAAGGAGATCAAGCCCACTGCGGTAGGAAGAATCCAAATACCGATGCAGCAGTCACAATACTATGACTTGTCCCCTCCAGGATACAACAGCCCGACCACTTGTCGTATGGTTCAGGCCAACTCTGCACAAGATAGTGAACCCAAAGCTCCACCAATAAAACACCCTTCTTTGCTAGTAATCTCTCTTGTATAGAAAATAGCTTATCTCTATAGATAGAAAAGAGTAGACTATATATAGGCTATAAGGACCTTACAGTTACACCAAAAATAATGACCATTAAACAAGAAAATGGTTACACCAAAATAATGACCATTAAACAAGAAAATGGTTACACCAAAATAATGACCATTAAACAAGAAAATGGTTACACCAAAATAATGACCATTAAACAAGAAAATGGTTACACCAAAATAATGACCATTAAACAAGAAAATGGTTACACCAAAATAATGACCATTAAACAAGAAAATGGTTACACCAAAATAATGACCATTAAACAAGAAAATGGTTACACCAAAATAATGACCATTAAACAAGAAAATGGTTACACCAAAATAATGACCATTAAACAAGAAAATGGTTACACCAAAATAATGACCATTAAACAAGAAAATGGTTACACCAAAATAATGACCATTAAACAAGAAAATGGTTACACCAAAATAATGACCATTAAACAAGAAAATGGTTACACCAAAATAATGACCATTAAACAAGAAAATGGTTACACCAAAATAATGACCATTAACCAAGTTCATGAATTCTATTTAACCTCCATTTATGACCAAGAGGTTACCAAAGTAATAAAACCCCATTTATGAAAAAGATAAACCAATAAATAAATATAAGATATTAAAATGGTCCAACAGA